GAAGGGACAGTGGGATTTGGGCGGGGAGCGAAGATGGACCCTGTCTCCGCAGCTGCGCTTCCACCTCCTCGAGACTCAGCATCTTCTTTGCTTGCGCTACCATCTGGGGCGTGGGCTGCTGCAGCTGCTGCAGCTGTTGCTGGAATTGCTGTTCCGGCTTCTTCGACATGCCCCAGACGCTAGACTTGGCTTGAAGATCAGGGATGTAACCCGGGTCGTTGTACTTCTCATAGCCAGACCGTTTGGGCTTCTGGTCTGCAGTGTCTGGCAGAGCAGCATCGGCCGCGGGTTGCGAAGGAGCGGTCGCAGGCGCACCGGGTTTCTGAAGGCTGTAACGGATCTGCTCCTCTCCGATCACATCGGCGACCTGAGCAGTCTTTCCAAAGAAGTCGAAATCCTTTCCAACCGGGCCGGTGTCGAAGCCGCCACCAAACGTGTCATCGTTGAACGCATCCTGGTCATCGTCCAGTTGGTCTCCCAGGCCATCGTACGTATCCTCAAAGTCGATGCTATAGCAATTGAAAGAAAGCGCCGCTGGTCAGCTCCATGCTCCCCGTTGTCTCAATTGATCTAAGTGAAGCAGAGTGGGGGAGACTTACACGTCGTCATCCTTGTCGTCTCGGAAGTTTGCTGCCAGTCTGGCGCGGGCAACTTCGGCGAACGGATCAGGGGTGTCGAAGATACCCCTCTGTTCGCCCGCAGGAGCTCGATCCCTAGGCAGGGTGGTATTAAAGCCGAAGAAGGACATCTTCGGGGGAAGCGGGGGGTGGGGGGGGTAAGGCAGTGGGTGTAGGAAGAGGGCGAGAATTACCACCGCGGCATAATTGGGTAGTGCGGGATGAGGTTCACAGCCGGTCTGATATCACCCGCTTTAGCTTAGTCCGCTGTGGCCTGAAAGCCTGAGGCAGTAAGACATTAAGGCATTAAGGCAGACAATTGGCCACCGCATCACGGGGAAGCGGTTGCCCCTTAGTCATCAGGTCTCCTGTTGTCTCCGTTGGACTCGGAAGATAATGGACTTTGTAGATATGAGAACGACCCCTTTTAGTATCTATGTATATCACCCCATACTCGAAAGCCTTCGGAGTACACGGATAATTGTCTACTTCATAAAGTAGCGTTTAGGGCAGTGCTTTGCATGTATTATATTATCTGGTCCATCTCGCCCTATAGGGAGTATGTAGTATGTGGTCCCCAACCCCAAGGCAGGATGGGATCGACGCCCAGCCAGATGGACTGATACCCTCAAACATCGATCGCATCCCTTCCTTAACGTCATTTCTGGTATAGACACAACCCCTCCCTACGAAAGAGTAAAAGTTTCCTCCTTGTAGAAATCAAATGTCGGAATGTATACTTTTCTTATCTCACGCATCCACTGGATGGCTCAAAATCGGTGCGACGTACGTGGCCCGGCCAATAATGGGGGAAATTACGTCGCCCTCACCATCCCGGGGCAAATAGGCTAGACTGCCAACTTACGCTGGCGCTTTGTTGACATCTGCCTTTTTTCTCCCACATTTGACCTCCAATCTCCTGAAATATTTACGTTCAGACTCAACTTTTTCTAATCATAAAGAACGGTTGGGGAAGCACGAGCAGCCGTGGTCAGGATCGACAACCAGTGCCCCGAATTGCCAACTAACTTTAATCTTTGCCTGATGCGCCGCGGGTCCATCATCTGCTGCATCGTCGTTACCGATCGCCCATAGATTCCCCAAGAATATCTGGGAGGCGCATTTCTCACCGGGCCTGTCACAACTGCCTAGATCGAGAGAGAGGCCCCATCTCTCGGGATTTCTTCCTTCCTTACATACTAGCTGTCCGTCATTCGTTTGTCAACTTCATCAGCATTCTGATCCTCACTCTCCCTCCTCCTTTGTTCTCCGACACTGCGCAACAGGCACCCGTATTCAGCCCTGCGCAACCAAGCATTGCTTTTCCCACCTCCTCACCGACGCTTCGGCACAGCGCAGTGCCCTTCACATCATGGCTATAGGGCCATTGCGATATCTTCTGTTTGCCATCACGGTGAGTGTGTCTGGCCCCGCCACAGGACCCCTTTCGCATCACTGACTGGCTTCAAGGGGTTGGCCGTCTTCTTTTTCATCTCTAGGAGCGCTATCCCAATCCCCGAGAACATCGGCACCAAGTTGAACCCCGCGACCTACAAAGATACCTTTTCCTCCTCTCCCTCCTCGCACAATGATGCGCTGTCATCAAGTGGACCGATCAAAGACATCCCGACGGATCGCGTGAACGCCACCTTCGTGACCCTCGCTCGCAACACTGATCTTTGGGAGATGGTCAAGTCCATCCGGACGGTGGAAGACCGCTTTAACCACAACTATCACTACGACTGGGTGTTCTTGAACGACAAGCCCTTCGATGACGAGTTCAAGAAGGTCACCTCAGCCTTGATCTCCGGCAATACGTTCTATGGCGTGATTCCGAAGGAACATTGGTCATATCCCGAGTGGATCGACCAGGATAAGGCGAAGAAGGTCCGACAGGAGATGGGAGAGAAGAAGATCATCTACGGCGACTCGGAGAGCTACCGTCACATGTGCCGTTATGAATCCGGATTCTTCTTCCGGCACCCGCTGATGCTGAACTATGAGTACTACTGGCGCGTGGAGCCCAGCATTGAGCTCTTCTGCGATGTCAGCTTTGACCCATTCCGCTACGTGAAAGAGAACGACAAGAAGTACAGCTTTGTGCTGAGTCTGTACGAGTACTACGACACCATCCCGAGCCTGTGGGGTACGGTGCAAAAGTTCATGGAGGAGCACCCGGAGCATATCGCGGACGGCAACTCTATGGGTTTCTTGAGTGATGATGGCGGCAAGACTTACAACAAGTGTCACTTTGTGAGTATTGCCCCTTAACCTCTCCGCTGGCTTAACTAACCAATTTGTAGTGGTCTAACTTTGAGATTGGAAGTCTGGAATGGCTGCGCTCCAAGGAATACATTGACTACTTTGAGACGCTCGACCACGCTGGTGGCTTCTTCTATGAACGCTGGGGCGATGCGCCGGTGCACTCTATCGCCGCGGGACTTCTCTTGAAGAAGGAGCAGATCCACTTCTTCAACGAGATTGGCTACTACCATGTCCCATTCACCCACTGCCCGACTGGCGAGCAGCTAAGGTTGGACCTGAAGTGCCACTGCAACCCTAAGGACAACTTTGACTGGAAGGGATACTCTTGTAAGTTCCCCACTTTTCTTCCGTTCGGGCATCAAAACTAACGAGCAACGTACAGGCACGTCCCGGTTCTTCCAAGTCAACGACATGGACAAGCCTAAGGGCTACGAGAATGAGAGCTGAGGGGCTCATGACTGAATATATCACTCGAAAAGTAATTGGAAATTATGTCGTTGCGAAGCGCAAAATTGGCCGTGCATGTGATCAGCAAAGCCGGACATCTCTTGACCAGCACGATCGAGTGGCTCTGTCCAGGCATAAGAAAACGTCCACTAACGGGACAAATCCCAGCTCATTACTGAACCATTTCCAACCCTCCTGCTGAATGCTGGGCGCAGGTTCACAACATTTGAAAAAATATTCTTCATTTCTTGATTTCCGGACGAGGGTGTCATGTGTTTATAAGATTGTCGGGAACTTCACTTCACAAGCGCGCATCATTTTTCTCTATATTCCGGGTATAGGGGTTGCAAAGTACAGAGATCGTTTGCAGGATGTACTGGATGGAGTCGGGATGCAAAGGGAAAGAAAAATAACTGCTCTGTAGCCAGGCAAGCCTCATAAATGTACATAGCCGTGTTCTAATAATAACAACGATATAAAGATCCGTCAAAGCACGATGTAATGATACAAACAATACCAAAAAATATAATCAAGCACAAGCAACATCCCTCATACCCAACTAATCCTTCTTAGGCTTCTTCGTACCATACTTCGACCGACTGTTCAACCGAGAAGCAACACCACCCTGAGAGAAGTTAGCCAATTCCACCCCAATTTCCAAAAACCCAATTGCAGAAAGTAAGACGTACCAAATCCATCGCACCACGAACCAAATGGTACTTCACACCAGGACAATCAGGCACACGACCACCACGCACCATAACGACACTGTGCTGCTGGATATTGTGTCCTACACACCATGAACCAATTAGCCTCATCCATCCAAGTCCATGATTCCCATGTGCTCTCATTCTCTTCACAACCCCCCCCCCCCAATCCCACAAAGACCAAAGCGGAGAGGAAAGTGAACTCACCTTCACCAGGAATATAAGCCGTAACAACCTTCCCACTACTCAACCTAACTCTCGCCGTCTTCCGCTCACCAGAGTTCGGCTTCTTAGGCTTCGTAATACCCGTCTTCAAACACACTCCCTTCATCTGAGACCGGCCGATCAGCGCCGGAGACCGAGAGCGACGTGCGCGCTGCGCAGTACGGCATCCGCGCCGCACTTGGTTGTAGGTGGCCTGGCGGAACGGGGAGGTGGAGAATTGCCGGAGAATGGAGGAAGAAGAGGATGTGACGGAGGTCTTGCCTGCAGCAGCAGCAGCAGCTACTGCGGTGGGCGTGCGGAGGACGGGCTGGAAAGGTCGTCGGGGAGCGGCGAGGGTGGTGATAGAGCAGGAGGTAGTGGTGGATTTGATAGCGGCGGGACGCTGAACAAGAGTCCGGAGCGTGCGCAGGGCGAGGGAGGAGACGAGGGGCGGCATTTTTGTTTATTAGTCTCCTGGGCGATGTGCTTTGGCCTGGGTGGGTTATATTGGCTATCGGGATGGGAAACATTTCCTGGACGGGGCTGAGAGAGATTGTATCACGTGACGGGTGAAAGATGGCGGAGGTGGTGGGTGTGGTGCGCCGGAGGAGCTTTGCTGCGGGAACGCGCCAGTGGACTGGCTGCCTGGCTGCGATGTCAGAGCTGCTGGTGCTTGCTTGAGTGCTACGTCGGTTACCTCTACTTACTGACACTGCTTAACTATCCTCCTCCGACTTTCAACCTCCCATCTCACGAACAACCACACTCATCTAACAACTACTAATATCAGCCCTCGACACAACACATATACCACCCTACAAATAAAACTCCCATCACAACCGTCACAATGGTCTGTTCATCCATCCACCTACTTCACAACCTCCCCGATAACCCTCACCACCCCCAAACCCTCATTCATACAGAACGGATAACTAACAAAGATCAATAGTCCCTCCGCATCGCCCCCCCCTCCAGCAACCCAACTCAAACAACCAACACGACCACCCGCGCCGTCATCGACCTCCCCCACCCCTCCAAGGGCGCCCCCTCGGCCCCCGGTCTCCCCGACACCCTCCGCGACAACATCACTCTTCAAGCACCCCGGGGCCCTCCCTCCACAGCGACCACCACCCCATCCTCGACGCACCCGCTCGAAGCCCGCCTCCTCGCGTGGCGCGCCACCCAGGATGCATTGAAAATGGAGTCGCTGCGTCGGGCGTACGGCATCGCGGAACCCGTGCGCCGCGGCATGGAGTTGAAGATCGTGCGGGATGGGACGTTCAGGCCTGCTGCGTTGGGTGGTCTCGGAATGGGAAATCTCCATGAGGATATTTTGGTCCTTGGTGGTAGGGATGCTGAGGTGGGTTGGGAGGATGTGTTTAAGGGTGAGTTTTTACCTATACCTACTCTTTCCTCTGTTTGTATGTTTGGTTGTGTGTGTGTTTTGCTAACGAGTGGGGGTTTAGGTGATGAGTTCCGTGAACCGCCTGCTTTCCATGATGAGATGGAGAAGAGATTGCGTATGGATCACTGAGTGGGTGGTAGTGGCAGTTCTTAGTCTGGTCTGGACATGACATGGCATGGCATGGCTTTACTTAAACTCATTGGTTGGCTGTTGAATGGGTTGTTATGAATCGGATTTTAAGTTTGTTTTCCTCTTATTTCTTGATACAGGCGCTGTCTGCGGTAAATTATACAATACAATCAATAAATGGTGGTTACATCTACTCCAACAATTTTGAGTAAGCCTACGTTGGTTGAAAGGAAAGTACTACTACAGGCTGAATAGCTACCATATGTGCAATCTTTGTACATTATGTAGTTTCCGCTGGCCTCAAACCAAGGAAACGCTATATTTGACATCAACCTGTGGGTCGCACAAGCCCCGTATCTCAAACTAGATTCAATCAAATGGCTGGCCAGATCGGAAGAGGGCCACCAGGGTCTTCCGTGAGCACTGCAAATTCGTCGGTCCAAGCCCTAACGCAACAGAAACACAGCAGAACGGCAAAGGACCATGTAAGCAATTGCAAGAGATAGGCTTCCAATATGTGAACATAAATGCAACAAATTCGAGACCGGCCAACGAGACAACACAGGGGGCGGGAGAGCAAGCAAGAACATGAGCTTTAGGGTATATACGAAATAAGCGGAAGCGGAGCAGCATCAAGCGACTCATGGAACTATGCAAGCCAAACGGTGACCACTTGGTGGAACAGACAACGGGGTAAATGTCAATGCAGCGATGCTGGTAAAGTGATGATAACCCATCCATAACGCCGTCTCATTACGGTCAGACAGCCAACCACATGCAATGTCTTGCGGCAAAAAAAGGCGAACAAGCGCGAGGGAGGACCAAAGCCTACTCGAACCCAGCAGGAGAGAAGCAACAAGGCTCCAATAAGGGTCTAGAAGAAAGCTCGTATCGACGAATCTTCAAATAGCACAAGCAAGTGAGCTTGGCATTGGTATCTGGGAGGGCAAAGCGATAATGGCAGTTCCCGAGGACGCAAGCAAGGGAGGGCTGCCTTAAGTATATGACTTCTGTCGTCTCCTTTCTCGGGCGGAAACCGTGCTATTCATTATTGGATGATGCAGCGACAGCCAGGGCTACGCTCACTGGTCTCCCGCTCCCGGGTGTACTGGGGTTTGGACTTGGCGTCTTCTTCGTCAACGATCTCCTGGGGCTTCACAGTCATGTGAACCACATTGGGAGCGTCCCGGCTGAACTTGGAGTCTAGATGATAATAGATCAGTACCAGCACCAGAGAAGCGGTAGAGGTGATAGATACCTGATAACGGGGCTTTGTCATCAAGCAGCTTGCCGAATGAGATGAGTCGGATGGAGCTGGGCGATGATGGCCGCGGCTCCCAGTCTGCCAGAAATCATATGTTAGCCACCCGCAACTTCCGAGACAACCCTGGCTATTGCACGCATACCTTGGCGCCATTCCCGCCAGATCAATTCCTTCAACGTGTATACACTCATGGCGAAGGGATCGTAATTCTCTACATTGACCGACCGTTTCCGTAGATACTTTCCATCGATCTTGAACGGGTGTCGGGAGCCTGTTATCAAGAGCAGGGTGATCACTAAGGATGGGCCTGTGTCCTCCTCCTCTTTGGCAGCCTCATCTGATCCCTGGGACGATGGCTCGGAGCCAGCTGCCGGAGCCTTCGCCTCATCGTGTTGTTCAGGAGATGCGCTTGCAGATGGAGCCGCATCTACAGGGTCCTGCTTGGGAACGGGTGCTGACGTATTGTCCTCATTATTGTCTGTGGGCTTCGCATCCACCGAACTGGACTCTTGGCTCTCGGCCTGGGCGTTATCGGGATGAGGGGCGGCACTAGGAAGCTCCTGGGATTCTGACGACGGCACGGCAATGGTTGTGGACTGCGAAGGCAGGTTGGAGTCGGAGGTGGGCGACATGGGATCAACTTTGGGGTCTTCGGTGACCGACATGGTTTGGTTCTGACACACCTCGTGAAGCCGCACGAGTCAGATAGCGCGAGGGGAAGAAAGGAAGGCTAAGCTAGCAATTCGGAATCGATGAAAACTTTAAGAGAGAGAATAGATTGCAGCGAAAATTCCGTTGGGGATAGCTGAACCGATATGGGAGTTGACTGATGAGGGTAAAAGGGGGGGAGGCGAATCAGGCTGGGGATCGAAGACAGGAGCGGATGAAGCAAGGCGATGCGCGCACGGAGGAGGGAAAGGAGGGCAGGCTGAGAGAGGGTGCTAAATTAGGTAGGCGAGGAGGAGTTTCCAAGGGTGGCCCGAACAAGAGACTAGAACCTTGATCGGGGATGGGTGAAGGGGGCCATGCGACCCGAAGGAGACCAGCGAGAGCGAAAAGGGGACGGCGTGAGTAGTGAGGAGACGAGGGACCACGAAGGCGATCGGGCGGGCCCACGAGTGGAGGAGGAGGAGGAGAATGAGGAGAGGATTGATTATTACCCTGTGTGTAAGGCTGAAAGGGAGACTAAAAAAGGTTTGTGGCAATGAAGAAGATGGGGGAATGTATAAAGAATGGGAGAGGGGGAGGCAAAGGGGAGGGGGGGAAACAGGAAGTAGTAAGTACGTAGGAGAAGGGGACAAAAAGACTGGATTGATTGATTGATGGATGGATGGGATGGACAGGGAAAGGGAGAGAGAGAGGAGACTAGACAAGACAGACAGACAAGACAGAGAGGTCCAAGCCAGTCACTGCTGAGGGGAGCCCTGATCTGGTTGGTTGGTTCCCCGGGCGTCACCTTGGATCGGTGGGCCACCGCCCATAATTAACGGCCCTTTCTACTCTTCCTTCATCCTTCTCCCTCTTCTGTCCCTCTTCCCCTTCCGGTTCATCTCAATCATCGTTCGTCAGTTGAACTTGGCTTTGCATGCAGGTGATTCTTTGGGCGTCAGCATTGGTTTGAATGGACGGAATGAGAATCAATTCCCGCGTGCAGCTGAGGCCTTGGTGGCAGCGGATCCTGGTCGCTTCCGGACATATCTGCGTCATGAGCAGGTCGTGACACCTGTCATGCTGGAAATCGCTCCTGTTGACTCCATAGAAGCTGTGCGGTCAAACTTCTACACATGGCTTAGATTTCTACGCTTAGCTTAGGGAGATAAGCAACTCCCAGACAATTCATGTTGTTAACTGGGCCCAAGGCATGCACGCGGAAGATAAAGATGTTCATTCATCAGATGATAGGTTCTATCTAATCAGTACAAAACGAATGCACCACTTCGACCATATGCCCCTTACACACTATACATGGTGCATTAGCGCTCTACACTAGAGTATGCCGCCTTGCTAAGGCTGTCGATTGAGGGGTTGCACCTGCTCAAGTGATCGTGTTTCATACCACCCTGCATACAATCACCTTTTACAAGCCGGACGACGAACTATCTTTCCAGGCATCTAGCGCATTGACAAAGTGATATTCCGTGCGCTAACATGGTGCTCTTGAGGTAGACAATCAATGCCAGATTCTCGCACATCAGCGATGATCGTCACTTTACTTTGCGCGAACACGTGCTGACGTGACTTGACATTTACGCAAGGTCTCTAGACCAAGTGTTGGCCACGTCGGGACATCCAGCGCGATCAGTCACTCGTAGCAGAGCTAAATAGCTAATGTAAAACTATGCAATAGAAATATGCCTCAAAAAGGCATGCTACGACGACGCAGTCGAATTGTCGGATTGCCAAGTAACTGAGACATACTACAGTCTAGAAGAGATCGCCAACACTCTAATCACGATACTAGCTCTGAGAGCTTTGCAAAACCCTATTTTATTTTTCTAGACCTTTCCATGACTAATCTTGCAGGAACCTAGAAGCAAGAGGTTTCAACTGCCTGCTTCGTCAGTTATGGCTGAGACTATGCGACAGTGAAACTAGCTAGTCAGTCTTGTCCATAGGACAACACGACTTCATCAGTACCATGTTAAGGCCAGTTATCTGTGCTCTGTGAGATTGCACCTAATATTCGAGGGGTAGATCGACCAACCTAACAAGGAATATCGCGACTGAGAGAAGTCTATCACACTCGTCAATTTTATACCATATCTAGAGGCAATGAATACTATCAATCTAACAGTTCGGGTATAAATACTACGCCTGAGTAGTATCTGTCATATATCTCCTGGAGCTGTTCTACACTAGAAGCGGCTGACTTTGCCTTCATGAGTGAAACGACCCCGTTGCCTCAGGCCATTAATTATAAAGTGGGTCGCTGATCAATCCACAGTCATATTCCAGCTTCGAGAACTATTCTAGATCACAGGTCACTATTTGGTTTGTCATCGAAAATCCCGTCGCGTACGTCAGATAGAAAGATCCGGATATTATGGACTAGAACTTATTTAATTCTTTCAAGCCCCCACGGTCTAGGCTTCTACTTGACCACTACATGATCACCGCGCTGGCACCTCTCCATGGTGACTGTTTTCGCCAGCTGGGTCTCGCTTAGTATACGTTGACTACCAGAGCTGTCTAGACCCGGGATAGCGATGATGCTTCAGAATTCGTTTTGGATTGTATCACGGCTAAATTATACGGACTGAACTGGAGAATGTGTCCTCGCAGTCGCTCCATATTCCCTGCTTGTCGGCAATATACTGTCGCATCTGTCGCACCGTCATAGATACACTGGAGCTTGGATTCTCCAGTGCTAACCTTTCCCAGAGTACCGATAGCTCTCATAGCTGTTAACGATCGGTTCTAAGCTACCATTTACTTTGTGTGTATGCGTCAATGCTGGAAGACTTCCCACGAGGGAATCTCGTACTTCCTACTACGGGGTCTGGTTAAAGAGCCGAATAGGAGCATCTTAAAGAATATCACTGAAACTTGCATAGATAGCCAGCGCGGATTGAGGATAACCTCGACCAGAGCCTCTGGTAACTTGTTCGGACACAGCTTTGTGCTCTCGTATATCCTTAGCGATGTCAGCGCAGATCGGCGAATAATACTATACAATACAGTGTCATGAAGCCTATGCCACGGCGGGACTACCTTCAGGGATTGTCCAATGTTATATGGCTACACATTCCCAAAACCATGC